CTTTTTCCTTAAGTAGTAGGTTTTTGCACCAAGGTCACATTTCACAAATTTTCCAAGTTACTTGTTCAAAATAAGTTATTTATTGAGTAGGAATGGGTGTTACAATTATGAGATTATGAGGTTGCAGGACTGTGTCTTTAACCTCCGGTAAATTGAACGGGTTATATGATCTGTTCTGAAATCTGCCAGATGACAAGGTTACGCGGCTTTTAGAGATTAAATGTCATGAAAGTGGAGATAATGGCACTAATATATTTACAGTGACCGGTAGTTTCCCAAGTCCCTAAAAGATGTAAAGCAGGTCTGGCAGCATCTGTGGAGAGAAAAACAGAAATAACGTTTCGCGTCCAATATGACACCTCAGAACTCAACTACTGCATCTTGTAGTTCTGAAGACACATACTGGGCTCAAATATTAAGTATTTCTGTTTCCACGGATGCTGCCAGATTTGTTGAGTTTCTCCTGCATTCTCTATTTATTTTAAATTTCCAGCATCCGCAGTATTTTTGCTTTTACAAGATAATGCAAGGACTACTTAAAGAAGCTGTGTAAGGCATTTTTTAAAAATAGTTTCTAGGTTCTATAAAAAGTAAAATGGCAACTATACTCTGGCTACAAAAAAGTGTTCAGTCAATACGGTAGCGTATTTCTTCTGTTTGCCACAGTAAAAATTTTAAAACATGAAATCTCGTGTCAACCTTTCAGATATCAATCTGGATCTTCGAATTACTTTTTAGAAGTTGAGTCTTTCCTGAGATCGTACAAAAAAAACCCTCTTAATACACTACATTCATTTCAAGTTCACCTGAAGAATGAAGTGTTATGATCAGGGATCAGTAAGGCTAACAGTTGTAGATACTCGAATGACTTTTAAAAAGGAGTTGAGCAGGGGACTGGACAAATTAGACATCCCTCTGGTCAGAAGCTGCACCAACAGGATGGGTCTCTGTTGTTTGATGCATCTTCTTGCATGCGTGCAATGAATCAGTGAATGGAGAGATATTGCTGAGTTGTGTGGAAGTTGAGTGCGGGATACGTACAAATCAAAGAGAGCATCTTCCAGCCCCGCTCGCTCATGCTGCCGTGTATTCGGAAACGGGTCTCAAATTGTTTAAACCAAACGACCGAAACAATAATCAGAAATAACAAGTGCATGTCGGAGCCGGTACAACTTGAACAACGAACCCCGCCTCACCCCAAATCATCCGTAGCATCAACGATCGATCAGGGAGCTCAGGCTTAACGCGAGTCAAGAAACACAGAGGCCGCCGGCTGCCCGCCTCCAACGGAAAGACCTGGACTACATCTCCCAACATTCCCTTGGTGTTGTGGGCATGCCGAACAAGGAAAAACCGCGCCAACGAAACTGAGGGGCCGCCGGCCCACCAATCGGAGTGCGGGATTTGAGCGCGCGGGGCGGGGAAGGGCGGAACCGAGGCGCCGAAGTTTTTTTCTGCCATTCCCCATTTTTTTTAAACGAACGAGCGGCGCTGGTTTGAGACGCCATATTGGAACCATTTTAGGGGGGAAGGAAAAAAAACAACCATCCCGTTTAAAAAAAATCGTCCGGTGTTTTTTAAAAAAAACCACCCCTACTCGAAATGTTGTACTTGGAGGATTACTTGGAAAGTGAGTATTGAGTGTAAGGCAGCGGTGTGAAGTTGGGATTGGTTTTTTCCCCTCTCTCTGGCAGGGCCGGGCGGAGCGAAGCGAAAAGACACCATTAACGCTGTTGTTGTTTTCCTCTCTCGACAGTGATCGAACAACTTCCCATGGATCTGCGCGACAGGTTTACGGAAATGAGGGAGATGGACCTGCAAGTACAGAGTATGCGGAGCCACGTTAGTCATGTCAGAGGCGCACAACTCACCCATTCTTTTTTTTAAAATGCCGGGACACTGCACTGAACATTCTTACAGCCACATTACGAAACCCGCGACACCTCCCTCTCCTTCCATCGTACCTCTTTCAGTTTCTTTTCAAAACAAATGCCTCTTGACCCAAAACCTAAATATTGCACCTTTGCAACATTTGAAAAGATTCAGGAAATAAAAGTTTCAGCTAAAATAAAACCTCCTTTAGTTTCAGTTACCGAGTCGTTTTTGATATATTCCGATAATTTGCAATTTGTTATAATTACTTTTACTTTTTTTTAAGTTCCTTTTCTAAGATCACTTATCTTTTGCCACTCAATTGCAGAGTCATAGCAACGTACATCATAGCAACAGCGTCCATCACTTGGTCCAGCGCTAGGTGGCAACTTCTCTTCCCTTTTTAGCTGCACTTGGTTTTTTTTCCATAAATGATTAATTGTACAGACTTTGCGAATGTTTTCTTGAATACTCACCTTTAGTGAGACCATTATTGCACTCTGTGGCTCGGTCTGAAAATGCGTAAAAAAAATCTGTGATCTCCCCATGCGACATCATTCTTTGATGTCATTGTAACTGCTGATATCAGCAATTTTTCCGTGATAACCTTTAAATGTTGAATTTCATTAACGTATTTTAAAAATATCTTTACTGTAAATATTGCACTTGTGCATACATATATTAAATAATGAAATACTTTAACGCCTGATACGAGAATGGTTTTCTAAGTTTGCAGTTTTTAATATTTGCATTCTTGTGTTATTCTCAATTGAAGTACAGGAATATATTAAAATAATCCATCTCTGGTTTTCTGTAAATATTAATCGATTAAAGTAAATCAAATAGAAATAATGCAATTTAAAATTTATCAGGGCAATCTAATAACTAAAATTAAGTAAAATTGTTTTCAAAGGAGACTTGGCTTTCAATTACCTTTATTGCTACAACAGGTACCAACCATAATTTCACTGCTTCAAAACTTTGATCACCACTGCTTGGATTGAAGCATTTTAATTTGATTTTATTTAGCACGTAAATTAGAAGTCTTATTTGAACATTTACATGTGTATTAAATAAAATTTTGTCTCTAGCTATGTTAGAAACTAGATAATCAGATTCATTTGGCAAAAAATATCACAGTAAACTCCTTAAAATGCAGCTATACAGCAAAATGAATTATGGCATTACATTTCAAAAGTAGAGAGTTATTATGAAGATTTTTCTTTTTGACTAGCTTAATAAATTACATTATATAGCAATCTACGGTATGTCACTGTGAACTTTTTTCAAATATCTCCATTATTAGTTAATTTCACCCCATTCCAACTGTAATTAAGAGTTTCTGGTGAGGCAATATTGAAATTGATGGCATTTTGTTATTAAAACACATCTACAAACAGTTATTAAGATTCTTACCAAACAAACCTTGTAGACTGCGTGCAGTTACAAGCACTCAGCATTTTCAGTAATTTGCTGAGCATTGATGTACGTGGTTTACTAGGTAAGCATTAGTGAAAGTATCAGCCAAAACTAGGCTAAGAAAATCCACTAAAATTAGTTGTGGAATTGCCCTTGCAGAGTAAATGCAATTTAAAATTTATCAGAACATTCTAGTAACTAAAAATAAGTAAAATTGTTTTAGAGGAGACTTGGCTTTCAATTACCTTTATTGCTAGAACAGGTACCAACCATAATTTCTCTGCTTCAAAACTTTGATCACCACTGCTTGGATTGAAGCATTTGAATTTGATTTATTTAGCACATTAATTAGAAGTCTCATTTGAACATTTTTATGTGTATTAAATAAAAGTTTGTTTCTAGCTATGTTAGAAACTATGCAATCAGAAAAAATCACAGTAAACTCCTTAAAATGCAGTTATACAGCAAAATGCAACTGATCTGTGTAAAGCTCATTTATCAGAAGCTTATGGAAGTGAAAAAGAAGCTTAAGGCAACAAGAAGACTTAACACTTAAAAATTTGAAATTGCTGGTAATAATTTGAGCTACACAGATTTATTGTATATAAGGGCCATGCATTTTTTTTATTGTGATCTGTTACAAATTTTAAAAACCAACTAATAGGCTTTTTGGACTGTAATTTTTTTTTAGAATACCAACCTCTTTTTGAAGTTATTTTATTTATTAAGTTATTATGGTGCTACGTTTTCAGTCATTGTTGCTAACAACCCATTCAGTTGTTGATAAAACTTGCTAAGAACTCCTGTTGGTATGTATTCTAAATGTTGCCTTCCCGACAACGAACCTGTGCTACCTCCTGGTGTTTCTGAATTCTTTAAAGATTTACTTCATTTATCATTTAACACAGAATTGGATGCTGCAAATGGAGGATTTTAGTATCTGCAGGAGGGCTGAATTGCCTTACTCATCTGTAATTTTCTTTTGATCCTGTTAAGTATCTTTTATACTTATTAAGTTTCTTTTTGGAAACTCACAAAACATAAAATGCAGGCAACGCAAAAACGTGAGGAAAGAAATAAAGGGTATTTCATATATGTGAAGGAAAACATTAAGAAGGAATATTAATAAAAATTGCACTGCTTTTGAATGCAAGTCACTATTGATCACTATTCCTAGGAGCCTTTCTATCCTTTGAAGAAGAAAATGCGTAGTGGCAGTAAGAACACTTAAGTGAATGCTGCATTATCTACTTGTCTCACATACATTCTGTCTTATTTATTTCTAACTGAATCCCAATTGTGTTGACTAACCCTTGATTGAAGTATTCTTGTGAATATAGTTGATGGATGCAGGGCAACCTGTTAAAAAAAAAAGTATCATGCTGTTGACTTGAAATACTGTATAAAATCTTGCACAGCTTAATAAAAAATTTGGATTGGTGGGGTGAAACACAGCATGATCAAAGTGTTTCATTGCCACTAGGTGGTAAAATTCTTATGTAGTCTCTTAATTAACATACACTGTAAATTTACACTGGCCAATTTCAAAAATTGGTAGTCAAGTTATCATTTAATCAAAGTACTGGTCAATTTAATCCCAAGTACAGTACTATATTTGTTAGATTCTTGCTTTAAGTCCTGTTATTGACAGAGCTGAGAAAACTCAGTCTTATGAATTTAGATAAAGAAACTTCTCATAAGGATGGCATTAAAGTTCATTTCCCTTTTAATTAAATGTTCCATGTACAATGATGAAAAATCAGTGATATTGATGTGGATTAAACCTGTGTTTTGCCCAAGATTGGCAACTCCAATAACTGAAAATAGCTGATTTCCTTTCCTCCCCACACAGATGCAATGGATCAGTTAGAACAAAGGGTGAATGAGTTCTTTGTCAATGCCAAAAAAAACAAGCCAGAATGGAGAGAGGAACAGATGGAAGCAATCAAGAAGGCAAGTACTATTTTGTTTGTTTGATTTTGTTAAACTATCAACAAAATATCAATTGTAAGTTTCTGTCTATTCACAACATTGGAGTCACTCAAATTGGATTGTGCAAATACATGGCAATGAAACAAGTTGTGCTTGAGCAGTGCAGTCCTGTCATTAAGTAGTGATAGTAACAAATCCTGCTTGGGGACAGGAGGAGAAACTTCATGTTTTTGCTCATTTTCTTTTTCAATTTACTCACTTTCTCACTTCTGAAAGCGTTCTATGACTACTGCTCTTTGCATAAAATATATTATTGATTTGAGCCTTGACAGAAAGTGTCAGTAAACTATTTAACCATGAATTGTTACCAAGCCATTGAGAGGCCACAAAAGGTCATTATGCTTGTGCAACATCCACATAATTTGTGATCCTGGATGGAAGTATATAAACACCAGGAGTAAGAATATGAGCATGCTTTTCTTAACCACATATTGCAGAGGCAGTTTTCGTGCCTATATTCAAGGGCAAGATGAGATCAGCTTGTTTAATACAGATTGAAATTCACGTCTTCCTGAAGTGCACAGCTTAGATGATCACAGGATAAACCTGTTGGACTATCTAGAAGTATTTTATTTATGCCTTTTAATTTAGCAATTACTGGTCTAAGTTTAATTCTAAAGCAGATATAATAAACACGCTTTTTTTAAAAAATGGAAGGATACTAGCAGAGCAGATTATACGTTTGCATTCGGTAATATTTCTTGATTTATGTACTGAAGTTCTGCTGGAAAAGTAAGCCTGACATTGAGTTTGTTTTGCCATCTGGAATAGGATCTTGATGCGCTTCCAAAGCACCCCAGTTATATGAACAAAAGGCTCATGACGAATGTTCCTTGTAAGCTCCGTGGCGACACAGCCTCCTAGAAGGTCTGCTCGTGCCAGTCAGCCTCCAGTTCTGGAAGTCGCCACTGTTCACGGATCTCCAAGGTCCATGCACGGCAGCATGAAAAATTAGAGGGACTGTAGTTTGTTGATACCATGGTTAGCCACAATCAATTTACCGTAGTCATTGGTACTTCTGGCCTGACCCTTAACCTGATCAAGTTGTTGAGGAAAAGTTTTATTCTGGCCTTAATGAAGTCTTTGCTGTCATTTCAAAAGAAGGAAAGATTAACCTTCAGTTGGACTTTAATGGTAAGGTTGGCCAACACTCTGATATCTGGGGAGGAACCGTTGTGGTAAAAAGTATATGGGAAAAGCCAATGGAAATAGAGTCGTCTTCCTGATAGTGTGCTGAACATGGCATAATTGTAACAAGCACTATCTTCTTCCACAGCACTAATACAATAGCATTGAGAGGTATCCTAAATCAAACCACTGAGCCATAGAATCCTTACGGTGTAGAAAGAGGCCATCGAGTCTGCACCAACCCTCTGAAGACCATTCTACCCAGACTTGCCCCCCCCACCCTTTCCCTGTAACACCACATTTACTGTGGCTAATCCACCTAACCTGCGTATTTTTGGACTGTGGCAGGAAACTGAAGCAGCCAGCAGAAACCCACATGTACACAGGAGAACTTGTATACTCCACACAGACAGTCCCCGAAGGCTGGAATCAAACCTGAGTCCCTGGCACTCTGAGGCAGCAGTGCTTAGCACTGAGCCAGTATGCTGCTCAGTCCTCCTGGATTACAGTATTGTTTGAGTCAAAGGTCTAAGCAAAGTCTGCATAAATTGATCCATGCAGGAGACTGATGCCTGTTACACAAATCATCAACTTGTTTTATCAGTAATAAACGTCCATCCGACACAAGATATCACAAGGACAAAATGTCCAAGAGAAAAAAGTTAAATGTCTAAACTTAAAAGCAGCTCACAATCAATCTTGAAAATCTTTACACACCCAACTCAGTTTCAGAACAGTAGCATCAAATAGAATCCCCTGTACTAGTTATCATTTGTCAGGACTGATTTGACCAAAAAGTTATAAGAAAATATGTGATCCTGTGGAGCAAAAGGAAGTAGCCTTTGTTGCCTGGCAGAATAACCCAAGGTTGTACATCAAGAAGTCAGAATTGCAGCAGATTAAGGTTGATGCCCAAAGACCAAATCCAGCAAATAAAGGACAAATGGTGGTAAGAGAAAACCAACAGTATGTTGATGTCATGCTATGCAAAGCTTTTCTGAAGCAACCAGGGCCCTCTGTAGACCTAAAATAAAATGGATAAAGTCCCCTTAGCTTGCAGGGTTGATGCCTTTCTCAAGGATGACAATACGTCCATCAATGCTTGCAAGATCACTTCCAACAGCTCCTCAACTGTGATTCCGCAGTGGCAGCTGATACTCTCCAGGCTATTCCCTGGACCCTGTGGTAGAGTTCATAGGTGAACCTGCAAAAGAATGTAGGCTTTTGCTCACATCAAGGCTCCCTGCACTCATTCTGAAGATTTGGGAGAAAAAAGAACTGGCACTGGTGGCTAGGTTACCATTTCTTTTGCCTCTAAAGTTTAATTTAATATATATTGTATATATATTTAATCACTTGAATCATATTTTTATAGGACTATTATAAAGCCTTGGAAGATGCTGACGAGAAAGTCCAGTTAGCAAATCAAATTTATGATTTGGTGAGTAGGTACTAAAATTTTGTTTTAAGTGTATAAATCTAACCCAGGCAAGTATCTCTGTCTGACATTAATATGGAAAAATATTGTATCTCTAACTCTTCCCTTTCCTTCCTTGACTTCACTATTCTTCACATTGAGGAGACCAAACGTAGATTGGGTGATTGCTTTGCAGTACACCTCCTTTGAGTTTGCAAGAATGACCCTGAGCTTCTGGTCGCCTGTCACTTTAATTCTCTGTCCCACTCTCAGTCTGACCTATGGGTCCTTGGCCGCCTAAACTGTTTAAATGAAGCTCACCTGAATCTCAAGGAATCGCATCTCGTCTTTCGATTAGGTACTTAATTGCCTTCCTGACACAATATTGAGTTAAGCAGTTTCAGATCATAACCAATACTCCATTTCTTTTCTACAACATTTGTTAGTAATGATTCTCATATTGCCATCTATACCTCTTCTAGACCCATCTTTTGTTTCTTCTCATATTGCCATCCACTTTCTTTGCACCGTTGTTCATTTTGTCATTTAATCTCAATTGCTCTTCACCTTCTTGCTGACTTTATTTATTCACCTTTTCTCCACTCCATTATATCTCTGCCTCAGTGCTTGCTTAAATCCTGTCATGTCTCTTTTTTCTAATTTTGAGGAAAGTTTACTTCGTAGTTATTTTTGTCTCCACAGATGCCACCTTACTTGCTTTGTGTTTTCAGTTTTTCGTATTTTTATTCAGGAGTTTATTATTTATTTACTATACATGGATACACAATTAAAAATATCCAAAGTTTGCCTAACATTTAAGAAATTTTAGTCTAGAACTTTCACTTCCAGATGCATGAAGTATGGTATCTCTTTCAATAGCTATCTGTTTATTTAGCTGTTAGAATATTGTTACCATTCAATCCATCTGTAGTAAGCTATCAATACAAATGAGCACTTGTCTGCTTTGCTGCATGATAAGATTTGGTATTGAGTTGCTTCTCATTGAGCATAGGTTTTTGCAGAATTTTTCTTTTTCTGGAAAGACAGTTCCTTAAACTTATCATTGGTGTTTTGATGTTAAATATATTTCCTAATGGTGTTTCATCTTTTATCAGCGTTTTTGATGTAAATATCCAACCATCATTACACACTGCCATTGTCCCAGAGGACCATACGGCTGGTCTCTAATTACAGAGAGAGAGAGAGACATAGTCAACTGACGGTGGTTTAACCTGAGGGTCACTACACCTCAGGCAAGGGTTGAGGTCGGGAAGGTGGGACCTTCATGGTGACCTCTGGTACAGGAATTGAATCTGCACAGTTGGTGTCACTCTGTGTTGCAAAACAGCTGTCCAGGCAGCTGAGCTAACCAATACTTGTTATCAGTCAAATGAACTTTCTCTGGACAGCCTCCAATGCCAGTGTTTCTTTCCTTAGATAGGGGGCCGAAAACTATTCACAGTATTCCAGGTGTGGTCTTACTAGTGCCTTGTATGGTTTTAGCAAAACCTCCCTACTTTTATACTCTTATTACATTTTGAAACCTCCATAAGCTACTTCACTCCATAAAAGCCAGTGTTGAATTTGCCTTCCCTGTTAACTGCTGAACTTGTTGGTAAGCTTTTTATGATTATAGATGAGGACTCCCAAATCCCTCTGTTCTGTAGCTTTCTGTATTCTTTGTCCACTTAACTAATATTCCAACTCCTCTATTTTCAGAAAACATTTGATTTGGTGCCAGATGGCAGGTTGATTAGCAAATTAGAAATATTTGGGATTGATGGGTCCTTGGCAGCATGGATTAGAAGTTGGCTAAAGGATAAGTAACAGGGTAGGAATAGATTGACATTCCTCAGACTTGGAGACTAGTTGAAAGTGGTGTTCCCCAGGGTTTAGTGTTGGGACGTTTGCTTTTATCAATTTATATAAGCAATTTGGAGTTGAGCGTTGAGGGCAAAATCTCTAAATTTACAAATAATATTAAGCTAGTGAGAATAGTGAATCGTGAGGATGAAACAGAGCAATTTCAGAGGGACATTAACAAGTTGGCCAAATGGACAGACACTTGGCAGATGACTGTCCATACAAAAAAATGAAGTAATGCATTTTGGTAGAGAAACATGGAGAGACAATACAGGCTCAATGATACAACTTTGAGGGAACCTCAGGGTTCAAGTCCATGATTCTCTGAAGGGTTGCCAGGCAAGTTGTAACAGTTGTAAAGAAGACTTATGGGATCCTTGGGTTTATAAATAGAAGCATAGAGTATAAAAGCAAGGAAGCGATGTTACACCTCTACAGTTCATTGGTCAGACCACGTTTGGCATATTGTGTTCAGTTCTGGGCACCTTATTTAAGGAGGAATGTTAAAGCCCTTGAGGGAGTGCAAAGGAGCTTTACTAGAAAGATTTACTTAATCATATTATGCATTTCCAAATAGAATAGAATCATAGACTCCCTACAATACGGAAAGAAGCCATTTGGCCCATCAAGTCTGCACTGACCCTCCGAGCAGCATTCCACTCAGACCCAGCAACCCACCCAATCCCCAGAACCCCGTATTTACCATGGCTAATCCATCAGCATGCATATCCCTGGATACTATGGGGCAATTTAGCATGGCCAGTCCACCTAAGCTTCACATATTTGGACTGTGGGCGGAAACTGGAGCACCCAGAGAACGTATAAACTCCACACAGTTACCCAAGGCTGGAATCAAACCCAGGTTCCCTGCGCTGTAAGGCAGCAGTACTAACCACCGAGTCAGCATGCTGTAATGGACATTAAAGTAGCCTGCCTTTTTTTTTTGTCTCCTTCCCTTTTTAAGTAAAGGTGTTATATTGGCAATCTTTTGGGACTTCTGCAAAATCTAAGAATTCCTGCAAGATTAATATCAGTGCACTCACTTTTTTTTAAATGCCTTAGGATGCATTCCATCAGGTCCAGGTGACTTGTCGGTATTTAGCCACGTTAGTCTCCCTAGCACCACTTCATCTGTAGTGACAGTTATTGTATTTCATCTCCTCCTTTGCCCTTGAATGTTTCGTAATTTTTAGATGCTATTAGTGTCTTCTACTGTGAAGACTGATGCAAAGTATTTATTCAACTCTTCTTCCATCTCCAGGTTCCCCATTATTATTTCTCACCCTTACAACACAAAAGTAGGCCATCTGGCTTGTTATGCCTACACTGGCTGTCTGTAAATGCAATTCACTTAATTCCCATATCCGTGCACAATTGAGCATATACCAAAGGTAGCTCTGCTCCTGCACCCGCTTTAGAATTATATCCTTGATCTTTTAGGGCTTTCCTCATTCTTTACACTAAAATGAATTATGCTTCTGCATTATATTTCATCTGTGACCTTTCTGCTCATTCCACTATCCTGTGGAACGTCCTTTTGATGTTCACAGTTCACAACACCTCAAGGTTTTGTTTAATCTCTATATTTTACACGCCAGCCTATATATTAATATGTATCAAGAAAAGCAAGGGACCATGTGAACCATTGTTCTGAAAAGCAACTGTTCATTACTGCTCTGTTTCTTGTCCATTCAGCCAATTTCTTTTCTATTCTATTATTGTTCCCTTCACTTCATGGGCTCTAACTTTATTGACTAGTCTTTTATGTGGCACTTTGTCAAATGCCTTTTGAAAGGTCATCAGTGACATTAACCACATTACCCTCATCACCTTCTCTAATGTCTCAGCCATTCTTTGCCAGAGTAGGCATAAATGGCTATTTTGTGGTTCCACACGTAACGAGTAGTATACTATAGGGATTAATGCAAAAAAAGGGATAAGATAATTGATGGTGGAGGGGTTTAAATACAAATATTTTATACAATAATGCAGTAAAATGTTACTGAATTACTTAAAGTAAGCACCATGCTATGTATGCTGCAATACTTTTGAAATTGCTTTCAGTGGAAATGCCAAAAGGTTGGACAGGATAGACTTGAATCTGTTAGAGTTTAAAACTGTAACAGGTGCCTTGATTGAAGCATACAAGATTCTGATAGGATTTCTGATTAAGCTTTAGCTCAATATATGTGGCCGCCTATCATAATCCATGGTAAGTGTTATGAAATTGAGTACATAGTTTTATTTATTTATTATGTTTTTTTTTTATTAACCAGGTTGATAGACATCTACGTAAATTGGACCAAGAGCTTGCCAAGTTTAAAATGGAGCTTGAAGCTGATAATGCTGGAATTACAGAGATATTAGAAAGGAGTAAGTACATTAAGTTATTGCAGGATTGTGCTTTAATTGTAGAATTCAAAGTCTTATTCAAAACATTTCCTAGCAGTGTTCAAACTTAAGCTGAGATGTATAGGTAACGACAGTAACACTATAAACTGCCAGTAGATGTCAGTAAAATGCAACCTTTATTGGTGTGATTTTATACAGATAATATAATATGGGATGCTTGTTTCTTGGCAGATGCAGTTACAATATATGTTTCTTTTCGTATCCTTTGAGGTGTTGAACTGTAATTTTTCAGCAGAAAGTGCCATTTTGTGCAATATTATTCTCAAAAACATTTTTACTCCACAATAAACTTGTCCACGACTAGAATGGTAAAACCCAGGCAGTTGAGTTCCTACTTTACATGCAAATATTACACCTTGATTACTTTCCTGGCATTGACTTCAGAAATTGGGAATTTTACTTGTGTTAATGCAGGGAGCTAACATGCAGACTGTCCTGTCTACAGTCTGGTGTAAATAAATATGAATATGAAGTAGGAGTAGAGGTAGGCCAGTTGGCCCATTGAACCTGCTGTGCTATTCAGTAAGATCATGGCTGAACTGATAATTCCACATTTCCTCTGACCCATGATAACCTTTGACCCCCTTTGGTTATGAAGAATCTACTGCTGCCTAAAATAATTTTCAAATAGTCTGCTTACAACACACCTCAAGGAAGAGCATCTTCTCGTGTTCCTCTGAAAACGCATTTCACCTCATTTCTGTCTTAGATGGGAGGCCTGTAGTTTTAGAAGCTCATACAAGAGGAAACATCCTTTGCACCTGCACCCTGTCAAAATGTCCCGGCATCTTATATATTTCATTCATGTTGCCTCTTGCTCTGCTAAGTTCAAGCTGATATAAGCTTTGTGTGTCTTGCCTTCCTCATATGACAACTCGCCCATTTCAGGCATTAGTTTAGTAAGCTGAAGTGCTTCCAAGGTATTTGTATCCTTCTTTAAATAAGGAATCAATACTGTACATAGTACTCCAGATATGGTTTCACCAATGCTCTGTGTAGCTGAAGCAGAACTTCCTGACATTTGTATTCAATTCCCCTCATGATAAATAATAGCAATTCTATTAGCTTTTCTTTACCTGGATACTAACCTTCTGCAATTCATGTACGAGGATATCGGATCTCTCTTCACTTTAGAGCTCTGCAGTCTTTCACTGATAAAAATAATATGCTTTTCTTAATTCATCCTGCCCAAAAGGACAATTTCACACTTTCTCACGTTATATTCCATTGCCAGATTTTTTTCCCACTCACCTAAACCATCTGTATCCTTTTGTACTTCCGTGTGTCCTTTTTGCACTTATGAAGTTAGTTTGCAACTAGCAAACTTTCCTATCTGTCTGTCATCAGCAAATTTAGCAACCATGTCTCCTGTCCCTACCATTTATATTCATGATTTGGATGAAGAGAGTTGAGGCCCCAGCTCCGATCTTTGTAGTACATCACTTCTTAGATCTTGCCAACCAGAAATGAGCTATTTTTGTCTATCCTCTGGCAAGCTAACAGGAAACAATATTCTATCCATGTCAAAATTTTAACCCTGCACCAGGAGCTTTTATTTTCCACAATAACCTTTGATGTGGCACCTGATCAAATGCCTTCTGAAAATCTAAGAATAGCACATCGACCAATTCTTTTTAATCCACAGTATGTGTTATTTCTTCAAGGAACTGCAATAGGTTGGTTAAACATGATATCCTTTTCACAAAACCATAAGACTGTAGGTTTTTAAGACATAGGAGCAGCAGTATGCCATTCAGCCCATCAAGGCTACTGCACCTCAACTCCATGAACACCTATTTATAGTTTAAAATATCAATTAATTGGCTTATTTTTGCCGTATTTTTGTTTCAGGATCTTTGGAGTTGGACAATCCACCTCAGCCAGTTAATAACCACCATGCTCACTCTCACACTCCATTAGAAAGTAAGTACCACGTCATGTGTTTTACGGCTGTTTTTGTTGGGCTGATTCACTTTTTGTGTTCCTTGTACACATTAGTAAGACTATTACAAAAAAAAGTTGTATGATTGTTACTGTTTTGATCACATACTTGGACCAATTAGCATTTATGCGTCCTAGAAATGTTGAATGCAGATAGTGAGTGGCTCAGTGGAAAAGTGCTCCTTTCCCAAGCAGTTAACATGTTATCTTAGCAAATGTTTTTTAAAAATGAAGTATCCATACAAATAATAGTGGGAAGATCACCAAGATTAAATGGAACTTTGCACTTAACATATCACATCAGTATTTCATTTTTCACCATTGGCACTAATCACACTGTTATCTAAAAATAGCACTCAGCTACTCCAGAATTTTTTTGATCCAGAAAGTAACTTCTTGATAGTGAGGTTATGGTTATATAAATTTAAAATGTTGGAAAATAAGGTACTTCTCTTCTAATCTGTATTTAATTTATTGTTATATTTTTCCAGAACGGAAATATAATCCATCTAGTCACCATACTACAGATCATATTCCCGAGAAGAAATTCAAGTCAGAAGCTCTTTTGTCTACCCTTACATCAGATGCCTCAAAAGAAAATACGCCAGGTAATTTGAATTCCTTAACAGTTAAAACCATAACATCATTTTACAACAACAACAGATACCTGTATAATGTCTATAATATAATAAGATGTACTAAGATGCTTTACAGATTAGTATAAAACAAATTATGACTTTGAGTTGTGTACAGAGATTATTATGTCATATGGTCAAAAACTTGGTCAAAAAGTATGTTTTAAGGAGTGTCTTATAAGGAAAGTGAGATGGAAAAGCACAGGGGGAGAATTCCAGGGCTTGGGACCGAGGCAACTAAAGGCACAGCCACCATTGGTAGGGCAATTACAATTGGGAATGCACAAGATGTCAGAATGAGAGGAGTGTAGATACCTCAATGATTGTGGTCTGGGGCGAATAGAGGTAGGACGGGGCAGGACCATGGAGACACTTAAAAGCAAGGATGATAATTTTACAGTCAAGATGTTGCTTGACTGGGAATTATTACTCAGCAAGCACAATGGGACTTGTTACAAGTTGAGACAGGGGCAGCAGAATTTTGGATGACCTTAAGTTTAGAGAGAGCAGAATATGGGAGGCCAGCCAAGAACGCATTGATTTAAGAGTTAATGCAGATTTAAGAGGAATGGGAATTGTAGCAACAGATGAGTTGAGTTAGGGCAAAATCAAGTGACGTTATAGTGTAAATAGAGCACATACTGCGCAGTTTATCTGCAGGCTCCCTTGTTTGCAAGGACTGCCTATCCATGAAAGTCTAGTGGGTGTGCTGCCATGCCTAGAAGATTCTGTTAATGAATGTGTATTATCTTAGCAGCAGCTGTTATGCATTCAGCCTGTGGCAGTCAGCCAAGCACACATCTTTGGTAAGGATCAAAGACTGACTACTAGGTGACAGCAGATGTTCGTTCTACCCTTTTTGTTTATGATCCCCTTGATCATTTATGTACCAAGTATCTACAGTGAGCGCCATGCACTAACCAGAAAAGGCATGAAGCAAAAGTCTGACGCAAATAAAGAAGGTATTCAGTACAGTGCTTACTTCCACCTATATATGTTAACATTACTATAATTACACAACTTGCGCAACTTTGTAACTACAAAGCTGAAAAAGAATGTTTTTATTAAGAGCTTCCATTTTACTGAGGAGATTTCACAGAAATTGAGATTGCAGCATTCTAATAACAAGCCACTACATTGTTTAAAAAAACAAAAATCCCCAATACTCCCAATGTTAACGGAAATTTAAACTTCCAGGATTTAGATCCAAATCCATATCTTCACCAACAACTAATTTATTTTTCTTTGTATATATCTGTAAACTTTCAAGTTTCCTTGAAATCTGTCCGCTAGTTTTGAGATTTTTTTTTACAATGGTCTAATAAATAGGTCTGAAAACATTACCTCCTCCCATCTTCATTGGAAGGAGTAACAGTGATTCCCACTGCCTGGATAGTTCTGGGGGAGCTAACTCACAGGAATAGTTAAATACAGTAAATGTCCAATGAGATTTGTGGGTTTAGGTGCATAGCTCTTTAAAGTACCTTGAACAGGTGCAGTAAATAGTCAAGAAGGCTAATGGAATGTTGGCCTTCATATCTAGAGGGCCGGCGTATAGGAATATAGATGTTACGCTGCAGTTATATAAAACCCTAGTTTGGTTCCACATAGAGTGCTATGATCAGATCTGGGCACCACACTTTAAGAAGGATGTTTCCTCCCTGAAGAGAGTTCAACACAGGTTTACAAGGATGATAGCTGCACTTCAGGAGTTAAGATATGAGGAGAGATTAGATAAATTAGGCCTGTATTCTTTAGAATTTAGAAGGTTAAGGCGTGATCTAATTGAGGTCTTCAGAATATTAACAAGGAAGGACAGGGTAGATGAAGATGAACTATTTCCACTGGTTGACGATTCTAGAACCAGGTGTCATTGTCTAAGAATTAGGGCCATGCAATTCAGGAGAGATGTTAGGAAGCACTTCTACACGCAAAGAGTAATGGAGATTTGGGACTGTCCTCCTCAAACAGTGGTCGAGGCTAATTCAATTGTTAAGTTTAAATCTGAGATGACAAAATTTGATTAAGCAAGGATATCAAGAGATACGGGTCCAAGGCAAGCATATGGAGTTAACCAACAGTTCAATCATGATCTTATTGAGTGGCAGAGCAGGCTCGAGGGGCTGAATGGCCTACTCCTGTCTCTATGTTCCTAACATGCCTCCAGATTTGTGATGGTGTGCTGTATCCTGCATCCCACAAGACCTTGTTACATAGTCCTTGCATCTAGGTCTTTTGGAGGCCAGCTTAGCAAGAAGAGGATGAGGACAATTTTTGTCAAAGAACAGTTCTTCAGCAATTACTCAAATTCAGTGTTTCCTGAGATGTCTTCGTTTGAAACAGAACTATCTATTATGAATCAACTTGTGTGGTGTAATTTAAACTTCAGTCCTATACAATGTTTGAAATTTGTTAATCTGGATTTTGCCATGACTCAGTTCAATAGATGTAAATTGTATTTGTTTGGTAGAAGATTGGCAAGTGTTAATTCTCATTCAGTTAGTGGGAAAATAAACATTAAGTAAAACAAAATAGTACTGATACGCCACTGAGATTAGATTCCTGGACTATACTGCAAATATGATCAGTAAGTTCAATAAGAATAAGCGAATTCCAAATGCTCCAATTTCTATACAATATTTCCATACATTAGACATATTATTATGGCATACCACTTATAGAGACTAAGAGAATAATACAGCAAACATTTTATTAATTGGCACCCATGGGACCAGGAGTGTGCCAGTTCATTAAATATTCCGGTTGATGAAGAGGACTACATTATGTAAAAACAAACTAAGTAATAGAAAAGCAATACAGACGACCTACATGTCACTGTCATACTTTATTTACACATAAATCACTGTAATAATATTGCGACTTTGCCTTAAATAAAAGTTACTGGCAGAGATCCATCTCACTCACACTCTCAACTGACTATTCAGACATTGCGGAGATCGTAATAATACAGTAAATTTCCAGTATTTGAGGTATATAATTTTTACCCATTTATCGAGGATGCCAGTTTACTGTATTAAAATAATAAATCAGTACTCGTTATGCCACTGTGTATGGTTAATTGTCAAAATGATTGATAATCCTTTACGCCATGCATGTGTTAGTCCATTAACTTAATGGATGCCAAAAGTGAACTGAATTGTTCCATTTGTGATCTTTAAATTGAAATTCTTATTTTTGAAATAAATAAGAAATTCTTCTCCACATTTTCATGTCTTTGGAAAACAAAGCAATTGTGCACAATAATCTCTTGTAGTTTACTAAAGTAAAGAAAATCATTGTACTGTATCTGAACTTTGAATTCAATGAGTCCTCTGTACAGAAGAAGCTTCGTTGCCCAAATGTTTATTCTGGGCTCACGCTGCACACAAGCCTCCTCCCACTCTTCTTCTGATTCCATCAGCATATCTTTCTATTAATTTCTTCCACATGTCCTTACCTAAATTTCCATAATTGTATCTGTTATTTGCTTCAACTACACCTTCCATATTTTGAACACACTTTGAAGCATTTCTCCTGAGTTACCTATGGTAATGTTTTAGGAAATTAAAATGTATTGATGGTGCTGATTTTTCAGTTTGGAAGCTTCTATCAATTCACAAATTTCTTAGAGGCTGCATTCTTTTTGGTTGTGGGTGGGGAAAATGAAACTCTACAGCATACCCTCTGGAGGAACATTGCAATAATGACAGCAACGTCTAGGTTTTCATATTATTCTGCATTATTCTGTGCAGATTTCTGAAGTCGCTGTCAGTTTCAATGGAACACTGAAAGTTTCACATCATTACCACTGCAAAATCGTAACAGTGGAATGCTGCCAACGTTTATGGACATTTGAGCCAAATTCATACTCCTATGGGATCAAAATTGAGTCAGTCAGTTCAGTGGAAGAAGAATTTATAAAGTATAGAGAAACTGGGTTATCACATGATACGATACATCACGTGCGGTTACATTTAAATAGAAAAAAATCGTTAGTTGATTAAATGTGTCTTAAGTTTACCAATTGAAGTTTTTCTTTGGTCTTTTTCAGGATGCCGTAATAGTAACTTAACGTCGACTTCTAACAGTGTCTACAATATTAATTCATCACAGCCTCTCAGTTCATATAATCTTACCTCATTAACTCCGGGAGCAGGTCCTGGAGCTGCAGCTATTACAATGGCAGCAGCCCAAGCTGTTCAAGCAACAGCACAGGTAAGTTATGTAGTAGAAATATTAATTGGTTTGGTTTTAAACACCCCAGCGCTCATTTCATCCCAGTTTATCTGGGCTGCTTGCTATATCAGACAAATGGTGCATGTTCTGGCTAATATTTATCCTTCAATCAAAGTCACAAAAATAGATACAAAAACAGAATTTGCTGGAAAATCTTAGCAGGCCTGGCAGCATTTGTGGAGAGAAAGCACAGTTAGCATTCAGTATCAGTTCTGAAGAACGGTCACTGGACCCAGAGTGTTAACACTGCTTTCTCTCCACAGATGCTGCCAGACCTGCTGAGTTTTTCCAGCAATTTTTGTTTGATTTCCAACATCTGTAGTTCTTTGGTTTTTTTTCATAAAAGCAGATTATTTGGTCATCATAACATTGCTGTTAGTGAGACCTTGCAGCGTACAAATGGTGTACTAGAATGTTACACCAGTATCGATACTGTGGGAAAAATGATGACATAGTGATAATGGCTCAGAACTAGCTAGCCAGAGGTCCAGGCTAATTCTCTGGGGACACTGGTTAGCACCAAGGTAGTTGGTAAATTCAATTAATATAAAAAAAGGAATATAAAGCTGGTATTAATAATGGTGACTATGAAGCTATTATCAAATATCATACGAAAAAGGTTTCGAAATAAATGAGGGTGTGTCAAACAGATTTGCCCTCAGATGTCTCCAAAAAGCTAAGGAAAATTTAATTCCCAATAACGGCAAAGTGGCCCTGTTAGTAGAATGGACAAGAGTCTGCAAATGGAGTTAGGAAAAAAGAGAGGCTGTATGGAGGAGGAGAACTATTAGAAAGGTGTGGAGGCATAGAAGGAGGCTGCAAGGGGTTGGAGCGATAAGAAGTGGCTACAGATGGGTGCGGGTTGGGAAATGAGACTCCATGGTGGGTGATTAGAAGAAAGAAGTTGCAGTGAGGGGTAGGGGAATGAAAATGGTAGGAGGAAGAGGTTAGTGGAGGGGGGAAAGAAAGTGGCTGCATTGTGAATGGGTGGAGAGTGAGATGGGGTAAAAAGAGGTAAGATGGTAGAGGGTAATGGAGAGGGAGGCTGCAAAGGACCAGGAAGAGGCAGACTACAGGGAGGGAAAGAGATTCTGAAAAGAAAGAAAAGTTTTTAAGCTATCAATAAAGATGTACTCAACTGACCAGGAGCCAGAAAATCTCCAAATCACTCAACTGTGGTGAATGTGGAATCTTCAGCTGAAAGCCAACTATGTTCATGAGTTACCAAATGGAGAAAAACGAAGTGGATGCCTCTATTGCAATAACATCAGTTATTGAATTTAAATCTGAGACGCAGTGAAAATGGTAGTGATTGCCCAGTTAAAATCTTTGTTTTGTGCATATATGATGGAAATACATTTGCTGTGAACTCACCAGTCTGGAATGTGTGTTTAAGGTGGAGATGTGCATGTGTGTCAGTTATTTGAAAATAAATATTTGTTAAGTTATGTCTGTTGGCTTATGCTAATTTAAATATTGTGATGCCTTAGAAATGAATGATTTTGTTGTGTTGTGACTTAAAATTTAAGGGAGCATTGGTAATTATTGAGGGTATTGATGAATTATTGTGTGAGTCCAGATTCCTCATACTTCAACACACATACAGAAAAAAGTATTGTTACTATATGATTGCATTACCTAATAAATTATTCTGTGAAAATGATAAAGAAGTCCCAGAAAACCAAAATGTAGACCCAAAAATCAAAATGTACTGCTCAAGAAAACATCAGGCACAGCTCTTGGGTAGGGTCGTGGGATTTCTGCCCTGGCAAAAACCTCAATTCATTAATCGAAAGAAATCTGCTGATCTTAATTCATCTTAATTCACCATGTGACTACAGATCCATAGCAATGTCCTCTAAATTACCCTGCCAAGCCAGTTAGTTCAAGGACAATTTGGGATGGGCAGCAAATATGGGCCTTGGCAGGGATGCCCACATCCTATGGAAGAAGAAGGGATGCAGTTCAAAAGTACTTAATTGGCTGTTTAAAGCATTTTGAACGTGAAGATGCTATATCAATTTGAATATTTTATTACCTTAAATAAAATTTAGTCATTAGCAAAGGTACCAGTAATGTGCAGTTAGATTTGCATCCTAATAATGTCATAGATGCCTCTATAATTTTGTCTGCTGGACAATTTTAACATATTCACATCAATAGAGTTAATAAATACTTGGTCATGAATTTTAATTCTGAATCAGCTGAAAGTTTCAAAAGTTTTCAGAACAATTAATTGTATACTGTAACGTAGCAATTCAAATGTTGTAAATAGCTATAAGAATTTAGGTGTGGTTTAGGAATGTAGCTTTTTTTGAACTGCTTGATAATTCATCATTTTAAAGCTATTTATGGATGAATTATTAGAAGATGAATGCTTAAAACTTTATAATAATTATTCCACAGGATGTTCATATTTCATTCTTGAATTGAGAACATCAACATTAGCTTTGGTCTTGCAGATTAGTCTGTTTGTTCCACATTCCAAGGTAGAATTGTTGATAGATACTATATTACAAATATTATTGATTTGTTATCATATAATCTCTGAAGTATTTTGAACATTTTATTCCTACAAATATTGGCAAGTAGAGAGGATTTCTTTTTAAAAAAAGGTTAAATATTTGTGATGCACTTAAAATACAATTCTGAATTATAAAGAATTTACTTCTCTTTTTGATATGCAAGATGAAGGAAGGGAGGAGGACATCTACTATAAAGGCCACTTATGAAGCATTTAAAAACAATGACTTCCAACTTGCACGAGAGTTCTCTATCTCAAGGGAATCTACAGGATATCCCTCAACGCTAGCCTCCACACTGACACAGACATTGTCAACATCAGCTTCAGATTCACGCAGTGGTCGAAAAAATAAGTAAGTGTTTCTACTGTTAAGGAATTCACCAATTATTGCTTTATATCTAGTCTAGGAAAACTAATTAGAATGTGTTCATGTTTTAAAATAATTTGTATCAACTATTTCAAAACAAACCTTCTTAATAGCTAAATATATTTATCACAAAAGTTTGTTCCTCTTTGGAGTGTTTACTCTGGCAGTCCAATAAAATGTTAATCTAGATTTAAGACTTTGGAATTAAATTCGCTGAGCAGATTTAATGTAGGCACTCAGGGTCTCATCTGTCATCTAGAGAGCCAGGGAGTCCTGCTTTGGCTTTCTTTCAGGAAGGTTGGCTGTGTTAGTCGTCAGTCAGCCAGCAGTAGGCTTTTCCCAGGAGCAAAGGTCTAGAGATGGAAGAGCTGCCTGCTGAGATTTGCTAACTAGTCATTAGGCCAGCAGACCTAGGATCACCAATAAGGGGCTGGGGGCAGAAGGGAATAGTTAACTAGCCACTAAGTGCCTTTCAAAATCACCCCCCACTCAACTCTTAAGTTTGCTTTTCAGGATTCATGCATGCTCTATTTCCTTCCCATGATGGGTGCATACCATCGTTGACATGAAGAGGATAGTAGTTGCCAACTTAAGGCGTTTAATTGCTGATGAGGCAGGAAGCCCTTCCATGAATCGGCCCACCACAGTCATAAACAGAGTAATGGTAGAAAGACAGCGGGCCTGTCACTTTCCTACTGAACTAAAATGCCTGTGGCCACCAAATATGCCACAGTGAAGCCATTAAATTTCCCCTATCTTATTCTTTTCCAGGTCCACTTTGTTGTCAGGCCCTGATTGAAATTTTAGATTATATATGCATTTTTACTTCTGTTGTTAGAAAATCATTTGTACCAAAATTTAAGTTAATGAAAATTCATTTGTAGTATCTGAATGGTTGTTTTCACTCCAAACAAACCAAATCAAAGTTACCAAATCATATTAAATGTTGCAATTAGTAACTTAAATGATTTGTTGCCATTCTAAAATAACTGTTTTGTACTGATCAAATATTCCGTATGTTGAGAAGGAATGGAAAGTGATTTGGTTCATTAGAGTTTCAGGATTGGACCAGGTATATCTTTTCAAAATTTTTTTTGTCAGTTTCCTATGAGAAAGAAAAGTAGTTTATATTTGATGGATAAAGTACTCTTAATAAAGTTTCTCTTTCTAGCAAGAGAAAATAATGTCTTAACAAAACTTTTTGTCTTCACTATACTTCCCTTTTTACTTTCTTCACGGCAGTGCTTTATCCAATCAATCTTACCTAAACTGTTTTCTCCTGTAGTATGAATAGTTATGCTTGTTTGAAATTTGGTTTTCTTGCATTTGAACCAATAAGCGCAAAATGGAAAGCTTCAGCCTTTTGAGGAGTATTCAAATTCTGAAAAGCAAGTGACTTACTCTCTCGAGGTTTACAACACCCGTGACAAATTTACTGATCTAATCTCTCTGATGACTATGTCAAAATCGTGTTTTAGTGCAATTCATAAATTTAAAATCTTTTGAACAAAAGCACTTTGTGTTGGAATTGCATACCAATTACATTTGTACGGATATAATCGATATATATGTGTGGTGATTAAAGTATCAGTTTTAAATTTGTTATATTTATTTGGAGAGCCATCAATACTACTTCAAGAAAGAAAGAATGTTTTTAATGTGTCAATTGTGTCTCAAATTTTCTGCATTTTATTTTGTATGTTTATAGATTTCTTAGTTTAAATGCATTTCTCTAAGTGTGAGCTATTATTTTAGGACTCTAATATTTATAAATTCTGTTTGTAAATTTTGTGTTTAAAGTTTTGTTTCTACTATTTTATTACGTAAATAACTGAGAAATATTTTAAAAGACGCACGTGGATACACAGCAGAACAGTTTATTGCATTTTAAGGAGTTCTCTAAGAAAACCTTGCCATCACTTCAATGTAAGGAATAGTATGAATGAAAGAGAATAATTAATTTTGATGCTAGCATAAATATTATTCCTGGTCCCTATGTTATTTAAAAGTTTGTTATTTTCTCCTCACTATGATTCTACAAGAACAAAGTTAGATACATATTTGAAAAGGAATAAATAATAAGATACAGGAAAATAAAATTAGAGTAACTAGAGTGACATTACTTTGTCTGAAATGTGCAAACTGTACAACCAAACTGAAAGACCTAAAACTTATGTTAAATTGGACCTCAAGCTTTGTTAATATGATTTGGATAAACTAACAACATCTGTCGCCCCACTAAAACTAAGAAATAATATTGTCCATTTGAATAATTATGGGTGCAATTCAATGGTTGTGGGGATATTAGTCCATCATAATTTTAGGATTAAGTGTTGAATTGCAGAATCAAAAATAATATTTGCAATATAAAAAACCTCACTGTCTGTACTGTGTGAACAGCCTTAGCAGAGACATAAGTTTGTTGAGCTTACTTTTGATCAATACAATTAAATAAAATGTCTGCTTAAGAATGCCTATCAAGGCCTGAGATCCAGTTGTAGCTGTATTTAGGAGTATGATACAGTCTGTTCATTATCACATTGCTGTGCAATACCAAGAAGATTTGATACTTAAAATGCTAGTAGTGGTCACCAATATTAGCTTTGGTCTAATTGTGCTGTGCTATTGATTAGTTGCCTTGTCTGTCCATCTAAGAAAATTCTTTTTATTTATATTGCCATTCTCTATTAATAAAGTGTGAACTGTACAGATATCTATAATTTAGCTTGAATGCCAATCTGTAACTTTTTTTTCCTCAGAAATAGCAACAAATCCTCAAATCACCAGTCCTCCTCATCATCTTCATCATCATCTTCCTCCTCCTCTTCATCTGTAATAGCACAGGAGATTCCTCAGCAGACCCCAGCTTTACCTGAGTCTGATTCCAATAACCAAGTGGATTGGACATATGATCCTAATGAGCCTCGTTATTGTATCTGCAATCAGGTGAGTTTAGAATAAAGATGCTAAATGCAGAGCACATTTTATGTTTTGTTATTTTTACATCAAATAATATACACAGATTTCCAAGAGATGTGTATAGTTATGCTAGAACTATTGTTGAAGAAATTTAGGTTTATATTTTTAGAAGACTGTAAAGATTATGAATTCACATTATCCACAGAATATACAGTTTGGAACTAATTAACTTGTAATCGATTTTAAAATGTAGCAGATACTGAGAATGAAGACAT